AGAGAAAAGCGTATATTGATTCCTGAGAATGATTTGTACTTTCTCTTGACTTATTCTAAGCTAAGATAGACCTACTAAACTTACTTAGGGGTTGTGATTTGTGATCAAGGTTTGGAGAACAGTAAATCGATCCACAAGGCTCAGGTATAATTAGAACGCAAGTAAGCAAGTTGTTCGTTAGATACTATTTTTTGACTTAATAAGCTTAAGTGTTTTAGCCTGGGTCATCTAATAGAAGGGTCATCAAGTGAAGGATGAGTAACCGAAGTTCTTCACTGTTTATCTTAGTTAAAATGGTATGTTTTTTGAAAAATTTCTGTTAATTCTTGGTCTTTAGTAAGGGTTGGGTAGTGAATCGACGGTTGAGGTCGTTAGACACTAATTAAATTGGGAGGGGGAGAACAAAAACTGTTCTTTTGATCCAAGGATAGGCCTTCATGAACAGAAATGTAGATAACTAGAAATTTTAAAATAGTCTAATTTAATTTAAAGATCCAAGGAAAGCCTTGATGATCTGTTATTTTAAATGATCTATTGAGTCGTAGCGACATATCTACTAAGTTTTTGTCATATAACTTTTTTAAAATGTTGTATTTGTCTAATTCTAATCTAATTTTTGTCTAAGTATAGGTTAGTAAAGGTCTGTTTGAGACTTTTGGTCGCACCAGATGAGTTATGTATGGTTTACTATACTCATAGAGTATTTTCAGATAAGGTACACCGTCTGAACGTCACGCTATCTTGTTTTCGGCCGGATGGATTCGTGCAACTTCTTTGTCTAATACCAATCTTAATCTTACTCTTTTATCTCCTAGTCGCAATAGATCTACTAAACACCGGTTTACGCGAGTTAGTTCCAGAATGAGAACATTTGTATTCTAAGTTAAGTTTCAATTGTTCTGGTGTTGAAACTACTTGTTTCCCCAATTTTTTTCCCCAATTTTTTGCAAACACTATTTTCAAAAACTTTTAATTATTTTTTTTTAAATTTAGTTCACTAGATTTTTCGAGGATTGAAAAAAGAATAATGGTTTATATTTGGTTAATTTGCGCTACCCTGCTATAAAAAGCAAACTCGTTTGATTTAATCACTCGAATTTAGACATAAATTCAGAAACGTCATCGCTTTTTCTTAACACTGGGAACTTTTTAAAGGTTATTTGAATCAGGATTTTGAATCAGGATTTATTTGAATCAGGATTTATTTGAAAGGTTATTTGAATAAGGTTATTTGAACTTTTTAAAGGTTATTTGAAAAGATTATTTGAATCAGGACTGAAAGGGCTTTAATATGACTAATCAACTAAGTCCGATTATTATTTCTGGTACCTGATTTTGTGTGGAAAACAAAAAAAAAATTAAAAAAAAACACGCTCGAGTATTAAGTTCCTCCCCATTTTGAATATTTGGAACAATAACTTGCCAATGCAAAACCTAATTATCTTGTTTTGAGGAAAAAACTCTAGCAACATCGAAACGTTTCTGAAAATTCCCATTATTGAGTTTCTTTGATAATCTCTAATAGAAATAAAAGTTTCTGTTCAAAACTCTAAAAGTTTTGCAAAAGTTTGTTATTTTTTTTAATCACCCATATTTCCCTATAATCCAACAGTCGTTAATTGTAAATTTTTGTTTATTACGTAGCCAACTTCACAATACATTTTACACAAAATACTCAAAAACTATAATGAGTATTTTGTGCTGAGCGAAAACTATTTTTGTATGTTAATATAAGGTACGATAAACATGACTCTATTAAGGTAAACAGTTTATGATGTTCAACCACTGAAAGTTTTGAAGTAGAAATTTCGAGCCATAAACAAAATATTTTGCATTCTTTTCATGTGTCTGTTTCATATTTTAACTTGAGTCGCAAACCTCTATATACAGCTATTCTACGAAAAGTTATTGCTCATTTAACTCGTGGGTCTTCTTCATTGAGAAAGCTTTTGTTTTACAAGATGAATGCAAAAAAGCTAAATATTTAAAAAAAGCTATTAGCTTAACGAGTTTTTCATTTATTAATTGAAAGCAGCTTACAGTGTTTCACAGAGATCTGAAGTGGAGCTTCGTATCACTTGCGATAAAAAGAAAGCGTAGCATTGCAATCTACCAAAGAGAATGAAAAATGGAAAAAACTAAGTCGAAAAAAAATTGAAAAAATCAACAATGTTTTTTGAAATACGAAAAAATCAATCTCAAACAACCAACTGAGAAACACAGCCACTAACAGTACACAAACTTTCAGTATTTGCCGAGCGTTCACTAAGCGGGCAACTTGTGATTAGACGCCGATTGTGTCGAAAAAGATAAATACCAAACAAATTGTTGTCCTGAAAAACTTTGAGCAAATAAAATGTTTTACCTTTTAAATTTTATACTAGCGGCCAACCTTACTTATCGAAAAAATGATTTATTAATTTTGATCTTTAAACCGATAAGAAGTAAGCTCACTAAACCGTCAAAACATGTGCAGAAATCATTAGAACCGAATAAAATCTCTTAGCGAAAACTACACAAAAAACGGAATTCACACCAGCCAGGGCGGGTAAATTTGCAAACTACAGGAGTTAATCAACGACACTTGAGACTAAAATCAAAACTGCTTAAAGAGCGAAAAAATCCGCGGTTTGGCCACTAAACCGACAAAACATAAACGTCAGACACTAAAAAAAAAGGTCCGACCGGGACTCAAATCCCAGACCATAGGGTACGAAGGCAATTTTGTACCTCCATACCAATGAAGAGCGACCTGGAAGTTGTGATAAAGCAGCATCAGTTTCCTAAAAGTTTGTCAGAAAATTGTTTACGGGGAAAAAATCTAGTTCCAAATTACACAAAACTTGCTTTTGCAACTATAAATAACGATTAAAATGTGCACTGAATCTCTTCAATCAATTTTGCGGTTTTGGTTGAACTGCAGGTTCTGATACTTCCACTTTGGTAACAACTACTAAATAATTTTACGTACAAATAGCGTAAATTTTGAGCGGGAAAAATTTTGAACGTATTTATAATTTTTCATGGTTTTCCGATGCAATTTGACACAATAGAATATTGGCATTCAGTAAGCAATAGTTGCACAACTTCAAACGTGCGTATGCTAATGGCTGATCTAGGATTCTCTCGAGAGAGGGGAAATCACAAAAATTAGGAAAATATGTCAATCTTTTTGGCCGACCATAAGTGTTTTCGAGCTCTCTTAAAACCAAAAAAAAAGGCAAAAAAATTCTGTACTCAAAAAGCAGTTTATAGGTACGTTTATAGATGAGTTTTGAAGTTTGTTGACCTTTTTTTGGAGTTTGTTGACCTTGAATGGATGTCGTAAAATAGCATTGGAGGGTGACCCTTTCAGAGACCAGGGGTTTTAGTTGTAAAGTGAAGGAGGGAGGGGGTCCTGATAGCGTCAAAATGGGTATCATCTGGGTAAAAAAACGAGCATTGAAACTCTGAGAAAGTGGGAATGCGAGCATCTAGTAGTCTCGCCCCTAACCCATTTCTCGCGTATCCTCCAGAAATGGGCGGTCTTCGCAAAGGGTGGTCTTTGTTCACAACTTTTGGATTTTCAGGCAAGTCTTCGGGGCAGAGGAACATAATTTTTTGGTCGAGCCGCTTGCCGGTGTATCCATTGCAAACGCAAAGGTGCATCACATCCAAAGATTGAAGACGTATGGTAGTTCGTTCATATATAGAAAAACATACATAGTAGAGCTGGACACAATTATATACTTATACATATCGCAAACTATGTTTTCTACTTAAATACCGACTTCTTTTCCATGCACTGTCATTTTTTTCTGAATCATTTTAGATTTCCAGCTCAGCACTAAATTTCAAATTTACCTGATATCTTTAAAAGGTAAACAAAATTATCGCCAAAAATTTGCATTCTTTGTAGTCTTCAGGCCTGGTAATGTGTTTTTGAGGTTGTTCCGGAACAATTAGCCAGTCAGATGTAAACAATCCTGCAATGAAATCTGCATCTACAATTGCAATGTGAAGATTTAATACTAGTATCGTATCAATATCGACGCTCAAGGGAGTGAACTAAGAGCTAGCAACATCTGAAACAAATCGGACCTGCCGTTGCGTAGAGCCAGTTGGCTTTCCCCTGTGGATCTATCCTCTTATTTTTAGCATAATTAGAAAACCGCTGTGGTTCCTGTTCACAGCTAGAGACCCATCGAGGGTACTAATTTGATCTCAAAACATCAGAACACGGTGGACATTTTTATGGAGTATTTCAACCAAGTATTCAAGCCCCTTTTCATTTGAGAATTCAGAGCAGACCCGCAACCCCGCCCAACTTCTTACAAATCTACTTTTCAGTGACTTTTCGTCATTACATTGATCATCATCGGTAGATTTTAAAAAGATTCCAGATAACTATTAAGGCTCTAAATTGATCCAGTAAATGTCTTATCCACTAGTTTGGGCTACGGAGCACCTATGTGATTGAATGCTTTAACTGAACAGGTAATTATTTTGCGATGACATATCAAATGAAAAACAAACAAAGGGATACCGTATCAAATGATATAGAACAATAATCTAAGTCTGACAAAAGGGGTGATCCACTAAAATTCAATGGAACAGGATATTAGCCGAGTTTACGGAACGAGTAAATTGACTTACGGGGATCATTGGAGTAGCAGTAAGAGTACTTTAATTACGTAGTCTCCCTCCCAATTTTGCTGTCACCCAATTCACTTCTGCCCTTAAAATAGGTCTAGGTGTTCATGATTTTTCAAATGAGATGTCATTTTGATTATTGCGCTAGAATCGATAATAATTGAAAAATTAGAAAATATTTCAACGTAGTTAATTACAATGGCCATATGCATCAGAATTTAACAGAATTTAGAACTTTAAGAAGTATCAACAACAAGGTTTTTTTGCCACAATTTACATGGCCTTAAAAATACCGATCAAACTTCTGATTGAATTGATGGGAACATAATTTAGACTATCCCATTCAGTCTCGTTTAAGAAGTCAACTGGAGAAAATAACACAACTCGGTGGGCTCCTTATTCCCATCAGCAGGTTTAGCTGTCATTAACACCCCTCCATAAATCAATTACTCTCCTCCACAAGAGCCCAGGTGTAGTGGACAGCCGCAGTTTATTACTCGATACATCGTAAATTGTACCCTGCTAATTCTCATACAACAATTAGCTAAATAGAAAATAGCAGACCAGTTGATTTCCAGTTTTTTTTGGATACAAGGGACCCAGTTACTGTTACCCAGCACGGGTAAGTTAGCTTAAAAATCTTCATTTTAATAGCAGAAATTGATTTGAAATTTCGAATTTTTTTACTCCAAAGGTTTTCATTCAGAAAAACTTCATTCCGGAGATTTGAAGTTTTTTATTTCGGCGATTTCGAAAAATAATTTTACTGGAGCTCAACTAAAGTTTCATGGCTTATTCTTTTATAATAAGCCTGCTCGCTTGTTTTAATCGCTCGAAGTTCGACTAAAATTCAAAAATTTCAAACTGGTTTTTCATGACACTGGGGAAAAAAATTTGAAATTTTTAAACGTCATTCGAATCACGACTGAGAGGGCTTTAATTTGATATATCGCCGTACCCTTTCCGAAAAAAGAAGAAAAAAACTTGAACACACCCGAATACTAAGTTTTTCCCCATTTTCAATAGTTGGAACAAAAAGACTGCTAGTATCAGAGCGCATCGCTGGATATTCTGAAAAGTCAATTTTGGTGAAAAAAACGATACTAGAAATTGCGAAAATGAAAAAGTTCGATTTAAAATAGACTAGAACATTCAACACTTAAGCAAAAAAAAAAACAAATAAGTTCCTAAAAAAACAGGCATGTGAAGTGGCAAATAACGTCTGCTGTGTCCCTAAGCAAGACCACACTTACACTTGTCTCACGAAAAGCATTACTGAAATTAAGCAATTAGTATTTCTAATCCACGGAATTACTTTATGGCTAAGTTTGAAAGGCAGACTGCAATTTAATTCAACTCTTGAACAAATTTCAATTTATGACTAGATCCGCGGGGTGCTGTTAAGGGGGACATCCAACAGCTTTTTAATTTCTTTTTCAACTGATATGTTTCGTTAAAAAGCACTCCTTCTTGATACTAAAAGCTTAACCCGCTTAGTAAAAGTAAAATATTCCCTCGTTCATACATTTTTCAGATCAAGATAATTTAGAAATGCATGAAGCAATTGAAAAATACCTGTAACTTTACAGGACAACTGTTGAGCGACTAATTGTATCAATTGAATTTACAAAAACAGTGACTAATTTTAGTTTTCAAACTTAGTCATCGAGTGTTTTTTCTGGCGGCCACTTGATTGATCAGAAAAATCAAACCTTTTTGCTGTAGAAGTCAACCGGGACATTGATATTCAATTAAATTTTCCGTTCAACAATTTTTCCATCATTGTGTTGAAAAAAGATCAAGGGTCTTTCTTGTTTGTTGGCAGGTTATATCATTCGACTTTTGTTTCTCAACATTGAAAGCCGGGCAGAATCAAAAACAAAATTACCAAATATCTTCGATTCAAAGAAAACACAATTACTTTCATATCCCAATACGTCTGTAATTTCACAACAGTGGTGAAAATAAGTTGCGAGGCAAAACATGACTTCTTTAACCCCTGATTTCTTCACTTCAACCACAAGTGCTCGAAAGAGATTCCTGTTCATCGTAACTTCCGTGCTGTTATGGACCCTTCTTACCCTCGATATCTCCGAGTCTGCATACTCCTATAATTCATACACCAACACACGACACAACCGTCTCCCAGCTACTCTCTCTTTCTACCCGGCCGCATCCAATCAGAGCTCGACTTTCTTCCAAGAAGTGAGTGAAGATGTGGCTGCGTTTGAGTCCAGAGATCCACAAGTTGTGAAGTTTCTAAGCAGCTGTTGTGGTGTGGACATGGCACCCTTGCCTGCTGACTTCAATTCCAGTTTCAGTTTGAACCAGTGGCCTAGCAGTGCCGTTTCGACATTGGTATTGGACATTCCGAACAGGTAAAAACAACATTGAAAAATCATTATTTTCATCTAAACCAGACTAATACTTACTTGTCTATGTACGAGAAATATTTTGACAACCGAGGTTTTCAAGCTATATTGCAATTGGATCTTAGAGTCATGCGAATTTTTATCTAATTTTGTCAAAAAGTAAGGCCACAAAAAACCAGCAATTTTACGCAGCTTGTCTCTTTCAGGTACTTCCAAAGCGACACATCAGCCAGACTTCTAGCCAGGGCCAATTTGTCGATAGAAGCTAAGTCACACTTCATCCAGTTAATGAATGACGCATACGTGACTGACGTCATCAGAGCATTGACAGGGTCACCGATCAACACAATCCGGTTCCCGGTGATCAAGTTCGCCCTGCTGCAGAAGATCATTAAGGGCAGAGTTTCCACTGTCATCACATGGTCAGACTTCAACAAACTGGCTACTTCTGGTATTTTGCACAAGTACGTAATTTTGATTTGCCTTAGTACTGTTTCTTTTTCAGCTTTGCCGAATATGCTTTGGTTTTAAACAGCAAAAATAATTTTGCACTTTCTTCGAAAATTATACCAGGTAATCTCCCATATCTGGTGATCTCCAACGAAAAAGTTTGTTTACTTAAATTTATTTTACATTGAACTCTTGTATTATATATGCATGAAAACAATTTATTTACAGGAGAGACTGTTTTGAAAACGGAGTCTTGGCAGAATTTTATGTTTTGTTTGAACTATTGAAGTCGAAATTGCTTCAGGTTCTTCAGTCAGGGTCTGGACATCAACTCAGTGACAACAGTCGTGAACAACGAGGTCAAACTCAACCTGATCTCTCAGATCTTGCAGCAGGGTGAACGAATCATCGGAGAATACATCCGGAAACCCGTCTGTCGCATTCTACTGGATCACATTTTCAGGATGAAGAACTACCAGCCTATTTCGTCATGGCAAAGCAAGGATACCCTGTTCTCAATCAGCCCTTACATTGAGTGCCTGGAACCCCAAATGTTACCAGAGAAGGAAAAGTACGGAAACTGGGTTCAGTTGTTCTCGTATATTGCAGTGAGTCATGAAATAGATCCAGCAACGTGTCTGCAGCTCCTGCATAAACTAGACTCCCACTCGTGGAGTCGAATCACAAGTGAGACCAAATTTTTATGTCTGAGGTTCGCGCCTCCTCAAATAGCGGTCAATCTTTTATGGCACTGGGAGCAAAAGTACGAAACCGAATTGGCATTGAATGGAATCATGGTATCCATGCAAGACATGGCACTACAGAACACTCTGAAGCGCGAGAAACTTGTGGATCTGAGTCTGGTGAAGCGAAACGAGGACTTGTTTCAACTTGTCACCTCAGTCTACCTGCATCTTTTGAACTACGAAGAAACTCAATCACTTTACGGAATGTATTATGTTGCACTAAAGTGGAACAAAATACCAATAACAAGTGTCCAGAAATTGGATCCCAGATCACTGAAACAAACACAGGAATACATAAAAGATCACCGACTGTCGCCTCAAAGCCAGTGGAGCGAAAAAGACTTGCAAACCCTGGGAGCGCTTGTTACAGGACTATCTGCTGATGAAATCACTCAGAATCATCTCAAGTATTTCTTCAAGCAGGGCAACGAGTTTATCAAACACCTGTCAGTTCCAACGAATGTCAAACTTATATCGCTCATTAGGAAAGAGTTGCCGAGGATCAGTGACGGACTGCGATTGGCGAACATACGGGAATATGATATGGGCATGTTGAACTATTTGTCGGCACACGACTTACAAAAAATCATTCAGAGCACATTTGAGAGCGGTTACTATTCATATAACTCTGCACAAGATCGAATTGAAGAACGGCTTCCAACTGAACTACTGAACAAAAAATGGGACACAAGAATAAGCTGTATAATCTACGATAACGTAATGCAAACAATCGGTGACTCATTACCGCCGGATGAGCTGAACGAAAACAGAGTTGCGCTGACTGGTCCTATGTCAGAGAGCATTGGTCCAATTTTATTGGGAGCTAACTATAAGGACTTTTTGGATGTCAGGTACTCTGAGTGGCTTTCTGTCATCAACAGTTTCCAGTTTTTCCTGGACAAAAACCAAATAATGTCTCGAGGTTTGGCACAAACATTGGCAACATACTTTCACAAAGTATCAAATGATTTGTTCGGCCCAAACAAGGCATCTGAAAGACACATGGAACCCAGTTTCAGGATAGAAGTCCACTTATTAGGAGGCAGAGTTTTACGCGAAGTCGATCCAAAATTTTTCTTTAACGTACCTGCCTATCTTTGCCGAGAAGCCGTAAGCATGATTGGTGAACTCAAAGACAACATTATGCTGCCACGAAAGATGCGACAGCAAATAGTTGCTATCTACTTAAACCACTGTCGTAGATCACCAGAACTGGACTTCGTTGACCTCGTAAGTTTAGGATCTCTCATTTGCGATATTCCAGCGGAGTTCCTCCGAACGAGAGCCAATCAGACTTTGCTTCGAGAAAGAGTACACTACTTCAAACAGTGCTCCTTGAGCCGACTCCAAGGAGAAGTTATCAAAAATCTATTGCCGAAACCGGTTATGTCATACGAAAACATTCTGAATCTCCAATCAGCAATGTGTTCGTTTATGAATGCAAAAGACTTGATGCTGTTGAATGATACCGCGAAAACAGATCTGGTGCCCGCTATGCCGTTCATTTGGAAGCAACAACCCGAATTATTCTCTAACAAAATCCGATATAGCAAACTTCTTTGGGATCCAGAGATGGCTTTCTTGGAAGGTTTGGATTTGCAAAGTCAGCAGCAGCTGGGATCTTGCATTCGAACAACAGCTTGGGTCTATGCTACTGATTTTAAACATGAACATAGCTATTATTATCAGAAAGATTGTGCGCCTGATCACGTTGCAGCCACAAACACTCTTAAAAAAGACAAGGACTCCCCTATTACAGTACTAACATGCGCTGAGTTGAAAGATCTTGGCGCAGGCATTGCTGTTCTACCGCAGGAATACTTCGAGAAACTAAACCCTTGTCAATTGAAAAGATGCATTTTCTATCTTACAACACATCCCTATGTACAAGATTCGACCAAACAGAAGTTGTTGAAACTGATTGAATTGGCTATCCAAAAACAGCACGCAACTAACGATTCTCTGGCGACTTTCGCGACTTGGTCTCGCTCTCTTCTGTGGTACGACCTTCCAGTTCTGACGTCATTCATGTCGCCTAAAGAATACCATCTTTTGCCGACAGAATCGGATTTTCTATACCTGGTACAGAGAACACTACCCGGAGAAACTACCACCACATACCAGTTACTTGAGTACCTTTTCAGTCGATATTTGAACTTGCTCAACCGCAAACAACTTACAGTTACTGAAGTTTCCACTCTTGGAAATATTTTATGCGGTTCAACTATTAAATCATTCTCTGATAGAGTTATGTTCACAACTAAGACAACTATAGCAAGTATTCTTCCCGATGATTTCAGGTCCTCGCTACACTTGCTTGGAAACCTTTCGGCGTGCTCTTCGGCTCAATTTGCCGAACTCGCCAAGTTTTATGAGTCATCATATACAGGAAGCGAGCCGTACAGCAGAGTCGACATAATTGACCTGAACTTAATTATGTCTACAGCCAGTGAGACATTGCTAAACTCTTTGGAACGAGATCAACTGAAAATGATAAATTGCGAGACTATCCGAAGAATTCCTGAGGATACTTTCAAACAGCTGGGTCAACTATTCTTTCTCAGACTCTCGCCCGAACAAATAAGGTGTTTCACACCAGCTCAGTGGAAACATGTGAAACAGTACAAGTTACGGATAGTGAACAACAATCTTTGCTCTCAATTCAAGTTCTCAGATAGTGTATTCACATGTCTGGTCACTGGAAATGAATTCAAGGGATCCTACAATGATGCGGATGATTCCGACCAGGATACACTACCGGACTATGACGTAGAGCCGTTTGGGCAAACAGACGAACAAATCACGGAATTTGACGTTGAAGGGGCTATTGACTCAAGCATTACAGTACAAAGCCATTACCCACTAACAGATTTGCATTATGTCACTGTTGGCGCACATGGTTTGAGCGCAAATTTTGTCAATATTTTCATAATTTATTGCACACTTTTTTTCCTATTGAGCTGATATAACCTGTTAATATCTGATTGTTATAACATTTTAATGTGATGGTTTGTAGAATTTTTAATTAATTTAGAAACAAAAATTTGATTTAAATAGTTAATTCACAATTTGTATGCACTTGAAATTTATCTTGATTATTACTATGATACCGGAGTGAGAATCTTGAGAGAATTTACACCTATTTTGACATTTGTAAGATCCCATATCGTATAATTTACTCACAAAACTTTGGAAAGAGACCAAACAAACAACAGAAAGCCCCGAAAATGGATGCCCCGAAAATGCATGTAACAATTACACAGAAAATATTGATTATAGCTGATCTACAAAAACTAATAATAAAGCATTTTTTTCGGAAATTCTTGTCTCGGTCAATTTAATCGATCATAACGCTTTCAGGGTTATGAATAAACTCTTCAAAGCGCGCATAATTTAGTCCAGAACATGGAAAGCTCTCATAAGTTAGTCCAAAACATGGACAATTTTCAAACCCCCAGAACTTTACAAAAATTTATTGGAGGCAAAATATCTTTTTACTTTTGAACTCAGGAAGTTAACAACTTCAATGGGGTGTAAATAACTTTTGTTGAAAATTATTATTTCGATCGGTGAAAATTGACTAAATAAAAAAAACCCACCGAGCATAAATATTCCGTTTTGTTCAAAATTCGGATTCGGAACAAAATCTATATTTTCAAGTGACACAAAAAAGTCCCATTGTCATATTACCATATCTTTATCTGTCGAAAAGAGCCTGAAAGAGCACACACAAACCAAGTCATCTAAATCAACCTTATTTTCTTTTTAAATTTCATTTAACAAAATGGACTCTGTAGTTGATCCTTATCACAAAAATAAAGATTCTTAATTTTATAAAGATAAATAACAATTTTAATTTAAAACATTTTTCCAAATATTCAAAAATCAAACGATTCAAAAAAACCATACAAATAGGGAAATTTTATCAGTTTAAACTGTCAATTCTTTTACTACAAAATGTTTGTCAATCTACAGTGATGATTCAAATTATCCAGACGAATTGCACAAGACTTGAAGGTTAAAACACATTTTTCTCACACTGCGTTGAATTTACGTGAAAATGATTAAGACAAAATTTCCATAGAATTTCAGCAAAAATATCATGGTACAATTTGTTTTGCAAAATTCGGACCCAAAACTGTACCCCAATTCTGGATCATTTTTGGTTTTTATAGTACATCAAAATTTACGTCAGAAATACCAGGTCAAATACTGATAAAACTAAATCAAAAAGAACCTCTTACGCAGCACAAACAAAACTCAAGATGAATATTATCTGAAACAATTTGCGCAAATGCTTAAAAATTGTTTTTAAATAAAAAATGGGTGTTTCATGTAGTAAGTTGACATTTTTTGTCTATAGAACAAAAACAATTTATTTTGAATTATTTTTGAGATAATAATCTTCTTACATTATATAAGACTTCTAGGAAGCTCACGTTGGTATAGTTATATCAGCATTTGACTCGGTATTTTTTGACTGACTAAAAAAATCAAAAAAGATTCAATTTTGAGGTAAAAATTTGGGCTTGAAATTCGCAAAACATTTTGCACAAAATTACTTCTACTAAAATTCTAAACAAGCACTGTTATTATCGTTTGATCACTTAAAGTCCACACAATTAAAAAACCTGTTTTAAATTTCAAATTTTAATTTTTTTTTTTCGTATAAATTAAGTCAACACTGTATATCAATCTATCACTATAACCTTATAAATCAAGTCAATTTCATATTTCACCCTAGTCTCACATAAGCTCTAATTTTTATGAACAGCGAATATTTGTGGAGACACTATTTTGAAAATGTTACACTATTTAAGCTATTGTCATCGTTTTCCAATCCGCAACCCCCAGTTAGCTCAACCTCATGCCCCTCCTCAAAACTTTATTTCCTCACTTTTGATCTGCTTTTCAAATAGTTTTTGGATTCTGAACAGTCTAAGCTATTTTCAGCGCGATTGGCAAATCTTGTTTTTTATAACTGTTAGGACCAAAAAAAAAACACTTTCAGCATCCGTTTATTGTCACAACTTAATAATGCTAACAAATAGTTTCAGTGTTTTTTTTGGTCTTAGCAGATAAAAAAAACAAGCTTTGCCAATCGCGCTGAACTTAGCACAGAATGTTCAGAGCACAAAAACTAATTGAAATGCTGATCAAAAAAAAAGAAATAAACTTTTTGGGAGGGCATGAGTTTGAGGTAACTGGGGGTTGCGGATTGGAAAACGTAGTCAAAAGCCTAAATAATGTAGCATTTTCAAACTAGTGTCTCCATAGGTATTCGATGTTCATGATAAAAAACAGAGTTTATGTGAGACTAGGATGAAGCCATGAAATTGACTTGATTTATAATGTTATAGTGATAGATTGATATAGTGTTGATTTAACTTATCCGAAAAAAAAGCTTAAAGTTTGAATTGTAAAAAAGCATTTTTTCAATTGGGTTGACTTTTAGTGAAAACACAAAAATAACAGAACTTGCTTAGAATTATAGTAGAAGTAATTTGGAGCAAAATTTTTTGCGAATTTTGAGCCCAAAATTTTACTTTGAATCAAACTATTTTTTATTGATGGTATCAAGTACTAATTGTGAGTTTCTATTTCTTCAACTGATTTGGAAGCCCTTATTCTTTCAAAAAAATTTCGATAAGATTGAGTTTGGTATTTTGTTAAAAAAAGTTAGCATCCACAGTCGAAACAAATAATCAAACCAGCATAGCACGGTGCACTAAACTTAGGACAGAACATCTTTTTAAAAAAAACTAATTTCGAAGTTGTGAAAAAGGACTAAAAAATTTAAGAAAGAAACCGAGTTCGGACTGAAATATTCATTTGAAGTTTTATTCTTATCTAAACTCTTTTGAACGAATAAAAGCTTCCAAATCAATTGAACAAATAAAAGCTCACAATTAGTACTTGATACAATCAATGAAAAATAATTAGATTTTAACGAGGAATCAAAAAACTGCATAAGCATATTACCTTACTTTTAGAGTTTTCTGTCACATTAGAGGAATTCATTAAGCGAAAAACCATGTTAACTGGAACATCTTTGAGCAAACATAAACATAATCAGATTTATCAAACCTAATTTTTTGAAAGATAACTGTCATTTACCAAAAAAGACTCAGTAGTTGAACCTTATCACAACTGTAAAAAATTCTTAATTTCGTGAAGATGAATAACAATTTTATTTGAAAAAGAATTTTTCCTATGAAAAATTTTCAATTTTTTCCAACCTTTTTAATCAACCTTATCAAGCGATGATAATTCGCCTCATTTCAAGTTACTTCGTAGCATGAATTCGTTTGCAAAAGGTCGCTCGTTGAAGCAAAACATAGCGCAATAAGGCTATTTTGTTTCTATATAGCGCAAAAAATCAAAAACTTGTGGATCGCATCGCAAGAACCAAACACTTTTCAAAGCAGGCTCAGCCAGCGATGAAAATTTGAACTAAATGAATTGTTTTGAAAAGTGCGAATGGCTTTTTTAATCAACCTTATCAAGCAATCAAACTTCCGATTAAAAAAATCAAGCAACTTTATAGCTAGAATCTGTTTGCAAAAAAAAAGTAGTTTGCAAATACATCAAGCAATGAAATTCTATTTCAAATCACGTTTTAGCCAGAATCGGTTCGCAAATGAAATGTTTCAAGTCATATCATCAAGCGCTGATTCTTCGAAATTTTAAGGTAGCAAAAGCGATGCTAATTAGTATTTTTTTGAATTACTTCATAGCATGGATGAGTTTGCAAGAGGTAGCTCTATAAAGCAAACTATCAAACATTGAGGATTTAATGTATTACTTTATAGCGACGGAAGTTTGAAATACTTCAAGTTTTTTAAAAGCACGAGCCAATTTCTAAAAAAATCTCTATGAGTCAAATCGCTTCGCAAAAATTTATGTAATTACCAGGCAAGCTCATTGAGCAATGATATTTCAAAATAAAGCCATTTTTGTAATAGTAGAGTTTTTTTCGCAAAAAATTGGAGGTTATCTAAGCAAGCTAATCAAGCAGTGAAACTATAAAATACATCAATTAGTCTTAAAGCTCGGAGAGTAGCCCAAACACTCGCGTAAATCATGAAGCAATGAAAATACATTTCAAATTACTTCAGAGCGCGAATTGGTTTTCTAATCAATTTCGTCATGCTCTCAAACTTCCAGATATCTCAATTTACGCCACAGCATGAAACCGTTTGCTACTTATGAAGCATTGAAACTTTATTTTCTGTTGCTTTATAGCGCAACATTTCGAGAAAGATCGGATCCTTAAAAACATTTCCTAAGCAAGCTTAGAAAGCGACAAAAATTTGAAATACTTTCAGTTGTTTGATAGCGCAAATGAGTTCGCTTAAATCCAAACGTTTTCTATAAAACTTAAAAATGATTTTAATTATATTTAATTTGATAACTCGTCCGATACAAATGAACTTTTCTAAAAAAAGTTAATCAAACACTGAACCTTGACTTATTTCAAGATATTTCACAGCGCAAATAAAGCTCAGTTTTTCTCTCTCATTCGAACAGTTAGCTGGAAAAAACTTTTCAGTATTTTATCGAGGTCCATAAATTTTTCTATAAAAAAGTTAGGCGTAGCGGTTTATGCACGAGAGCTTCCCACAACCCGTTCTCTCTCTTGAAAATTAAAAGCTCAGATTTGTGAAGGTAGTTTTCGAGAAAAGTCAAAACTATTCAAAAAACGGTCGAAAAATCGAAACTGACTTATCCCAGGTTCATAACTTTCTGTGTAAAAATCTTTGAGAGTAGCCGTTTATACAGCGGAGCTTCTTAGAGCCCGTTCTATCCATTGAACCCAAAATCTTAGCTTTGGAAAGGTCGTTTTTAAGAAAAAGAAAAAATATATATTTTGGGTTACATATTACCCCTGCTGAGTTTTTCGAAAGCAGTAGAACGGGAGGCATGATAAAGAGACTAGTGGAATTTGCAGGCCTACAGGGATGTCGACGAATTTTTCATTGATACCACTTTACAAAAATCGATAAGGTAGTTTTTGAGAAAAACTAAACTTTGTAGAAAAAGAAAAATTTTTCCGAAGTCTCAAAAAGAAACAAAAAAATACAA